AGCCGGCCTCACCTTCCTCCTGTGGAGCTGCTGATGGCCTGAAACGGTCAGTTATCAGTCCAGCAGCACCACCAGGGCGCCACCATTAGTTGTTGTTTAATACATGCTATAAAAATGTTATATTGGAGTTTTGAAAACTACTTACAAGTGCAAACTCTCAAAATTTTAACAGAAAATCAAACAATCCAATTAGAAAATTGGAAAAATATATTTTACCAACAAATAATAGGGATGACAAGCACATGGAAAGATGTGTAACATCATTTGTTCTCAGGGAACTGTCAATTGAAACTACAATGAGATGCCCCCACACATCTTTCAGAATGAGTAGCAAAAAGTAATGAGAACATCAAATGCTTTCAAGAATGCAAAGAAAATCCTATATCCATGTTTGGCACTGCTTTGCTTTTTTGTGACTTTATCATAATTGACATAAATTTTCTTTAACTTTCTCCCTATTGTTTTAGCAAAGATCAGTGCTCTGTGTTCTCTGAAACACTTGTTTTAATGGCCTTTTTTCTTCTGAAGATATTTGTGATTAGCTGCAAAAGGCCAGGCACAAGAAATAATAGTGGTTTCTTGGTAAATGAATCAAATGTGTTAAATTTCCACATACAAAACATGGTCTCTGAGCGTGGTGTTGCCCACTTTTGTGTGTGTGTGAAGACTTTTCATACCATGGTCTAGGATGCTAAATGCAGTCAGTTTGGGCAAATTACCTTTAAACTTGGCTGAAGAACAATTGCAATTGTTCTGTTGTTCCATGAACGCGTTATTTCTAGTTTGGGCCAATGGCATATTGTAAGTCTGAGATCGTCCCCTACTAAAAATAGCATCATAGAAATGAGCAAACAAGTGTGGGTGATCAAAGAGTACTGCCACAGTAGTGCTCTGCTACAGTCAGCAACAGCACCTCGGCGTCCCAGCTTGGACACTCACTTTGGAACTAAGGTAAACATGCCGTATAAAGGCTTAGTGCTGTGTTTGCGTCCTTCCCTCTGGCCTATACTCCTGGAGACTGAATATTTGTAATATCAGTTTTGCCTGTCTCAATCCCTCAGCCAGCTCCATGCTAGGTTTTCCAATGAGAAGTTGTTAAAAGAACCCACATGAATCCTATGTCCTAGTTAATAAAAGAGCCTTTAGCAGCCAATTGAGGATCACCAGCCTGAATTGTATTAATCGGTGACATGTGAGCTCATAACTCTATACCTCTTTAATGAGTGCGAATAATGCAATTAATCACCCCTCGACGTGTTGCCAAGGAAAAGCTTTGTTTGTGTCCGTGGTTACTCTCCACAAGTTGATGTCTCTATCCAACCTTGTTAGAACAGGAATTGATAGGCTCTCTTATTTTTCAGTCAGAATGCTAGAATTCCTTCTAAGTACTCGTGATTGTCTCCAGCAAGAACCCCTGAAATTAGACTCTACAGCAATGGTGCTCAACCTTCCTAATGCTGTAATCCTTCAATACAGTTCCTCATGTTGTGGTGACCCCCAACCATAAAATTACTTTCGTTGATACTTCATAACTGTCATTTTGCTACTGTTATGAATCATCATGTAAATATCTGATACGCAGGATATGTTTTCATTGTCACAAATTGAACATAATTAAAACAGTGATTAATCACAAAAACAATATGCAATTATATATTGTGAAATATTTATTTCTAATGACAAATAAGTGAAATTTTGTCTAGAAGCATGGTGTAGCATGGGTAACAGTTTTCACGCCGGGTACTCATATGTGGACATACCTGCTTGTGGGCAGACCCGCCTGGAGACGGATAGAGGAGCGGTGTCTCGGTTCCTAAGATCATCGGAAATCTGTTTTCCGATGGTCTTAGGCGACCCCTGTGAAAGGATCGTTCGACCCCTAAAGGGGTGGCAACTCACAGGTTGAGAACCGCTGCTCTACAGGTTAAATGGCAGATTCAAATTTTTTAAACTCCTCTGGCCTTTCAGGGAACATGGCTCCCGCCAAGGGCCACACCTTTAGGACTTGACGTGGAAGCCTGTGAGAAAGAATTGGGCCCTACCTCAAAACTACGTGTATCCCTGAATTTAGGATTGAAAACCGCTAATGGGAGATGAAGTAAAGGATGACCACCAAAAAACTGTGGAAATGGCAATCATGGACCTTGGGTGGCCCCCTGACACAGCGGGTGTCCAATGAAAGGGGATCTGGAGCCAACATTTATACTGTAATGCTCTCCCTGCATTAACATGACAGGTTTAAATCTGATAGGCAAGGATCTGCCCTAGTAAGAAATGATATAGGAAATGTTCCCCTGGCATCAACCACCATGCTCAATGTAAACAGAGCTCAATCAATCTGTACAAAATCTGTACAAAGCAGCACCTCTTGGATTGCAGCTCACAGTTTGACTATACTCATATAAACCCTCGGATCAAAAGTACCTTAAATTCTACACCCCTGGTTATTAACACAATTGTCTGATACCACAGGGTATATTGATGATGTCTTTCTCTTTTGTTTCTTTTGCTTGGGGTTTTGGGGGGGTTGTTTGCTTGTTTTTGGTGGTGGTGGTGGGTTTTGTTTATGACTCCCAAAGTAAATCAGAGTAGCTCACAATTCATGGACATGCAGGTAGATTCTGGGCTCCCATGTAATTCTAGCCCAATCCAAGAACAGTTAGTTCTTATAACATGGCCCTCCTCAATACTCACCTTTAGATAGTGGTGCTACAGCAAAGCGTTGTTAAGAAAGCAGATGGTGCCAGACTATCAGTTGCAATAGTGTCTGGGATCTTAAAGGCTTGCATTCAAAAAGCAACCATCTAAGTGAAGCTTCAATTAAGTCTACATGGAAGAAGCACAGCAGTTTATGTGATCCAAAGATGATGATAATAAAATCCAAATATGATGAAGGGAAAAGTATCAGAGTTCAAATTGTACCACCCAATTTGTAGAAGGCTGTGAAGAACAGTGGGAGCCCAAATCCATCTGCAGAGTATGTAGTCAGATTAAGTCTCTGACAGATCCCCACCAGCCACAGGTGAGCGACTCAAACAGCTTTTCTCTCAAAGATTATAGTAAACTTTATTATGGTGGTATAATATTATGGTATAATATTATTTGGTATAATATGGTAAAATAACATCTTATTTGGTCATTTGGCTTCCCTCTTGACCCAACCTGAATTTTCTCTTGGTTCAAATATTTCTCACTTGTTCCATGACATAAATTTCTGGCATTTAAAATATTGTTGGTAGTCTTTTCTTTCTTACTCTTTATTTTTATCTTTATGTTTTTATTTTCTTTGGGGATCTATTTAATTTTCTTTTTATTAGTTCTGTTCAGTTTCCCACTTTATGAAGCAGAATTAGTGGATGCATAGAGACAATAACTGCTTCAATGGTTTATCAGGAAGAGGAGGAAGGAAATTGGGGAGTAAGCAATGACCGTGGGAGTGGAAAGGTAGCAATAGAAGTGACTGTGATGATCCATATACAACTCTTTATTAAAGGCAATTTAACCACAGAAGTGTATGACATGTGAATACTATATCAAGAAAACTACTGTTAACAAAACACCTGACCAACGGTTACCATGGCTGAAAGAGGAAAAAGTTTTTACTTAGGGGACATTGAGTTTATGTTAACAGTGGTGGAATAATTTGGAAAAGGATATCAATAATGGTTGTGCAACATGAAGAGTATAATGAATAGCACTGAATTATACACGTAAAAAAGGTTGACTTGTGTAGATCTTTGCCAAAATAAAAAAATAATTGCATGAGTAACAATGAGTAAAAGGGAAAAAAGATACCATACTTTTTGTAAAATGATGTAACATGTATTTTTACCATTTATACTATCAATCCATTTTTCTATTTTAACATTCTTCATAGTTGTTAAGAATTTTCACACTGTATATCACTTTTCTTTCAATAACATTAAATTGATATATTCCAACAAAAAAGGGGTTTTTTAAGTGAACCAATAACTTTCTTTTAAAAAAATTACATTTGATAGTTTGGTTTAATGGGAAAAAAAACACAATAGACTGATGCTTGCAATTTTTATTTAAAACATTTTATTTGGTCACCTACACAATTAAAGTGAGAAAAAATAAATGCTCTCCTCTCGTTCTGAAACTATCCTGCCATTGAAAATGTAAATATCCCAACTTCGGTCACAGCACCAGGTTCTTCATCCAAGTCCCCCTGGGCTATGCTAACCAAGGCCACTAAAATTGGCTCTTAGAATGATAGAAAAATCAATGACCAACCAAACACAATAATATTAATGGGTCTATCTTAAGGAATATTAATTACCTGGCCAGAAGTAGATTGAATAATTAGATTGCGTAATTTGGTAAGAGACACCAGAAACAAAGGAGTACATACTTAGTGTACAGTCTGCCATCAGTATCATTGACCTCTTAGTATAATTCAGTCTTTGCTCTGTAGTGTAAAGAACAACAAAAAAGACCAAATCGCTATCCTCAAAAACATAGCAATTTATGAGAAAGATAGCATCAGCAAATGTAAACAAATGTATAGTCACATATGGTAAATGTGAAGTTAAATAATATATAGATATAATGCTAGATTCTGTGGCAGTATGCATTGTTTTCAAACAAATTCAACCAGCTCATTAGTGTCAGTGACCAGTACCAAGATTAGTGTCCCTCTGACTCAACCAATATTTATCAAACTATGGAAGAATTTTACTTCCTCTCACCTCCTACCTCTAGAAATAATACCTGGAATTTTTCTCTCTTCTGCGAGTTGTAGTGGCATATTTTTAAATCAGGAAGTGCCACCAGCAAGGTACAAGGCATGTGAGTTAAGTTGGCAACTTTAAATAGACACATAAAAATCAAGAAAATATAAAAAAAATAAACACAATCTTTTCAGCCGCTAATTCAGTGGGTGGCCATAGCAAAACAGAAGTTTCTTATTATATATGAGTCATTTTTAGTACAGGGGCATTTGCATTTGTCAGTTGCAAAATGCTCCATTATTATTTTTATGTGAATGATATCCCCACAACTGTCTTTAGAGCCCTCATTACCTCTTTGTTTCGGAGGCTATAGATCAAAGGGTTCAGTAGGGGAGTAATTATGGTATCAAATACAAAGAGCTGTTGATCTAGTTCTGGGGAGAGAGAGGAACCTGGGGTCATATAGATAATCATGGCTGGACCAAAGTAGAGACTCACCACAGTCAGATGGGAGGAGCAGGTGACCAGGGCTTTGTTCTTCCCTTTGGGGGAGTTTATGCGGAGAACAGTGAGGAAGATGGAAACATAAGAAGCCAGGATGAGGCCAAATGGGATGAGGATCAATATTGTACCTGTGACTAGCACCACTTTTTCATAAATTGATGTGTTCTCACAGGAGAGCTTCAGGAAAGCCATGACTTCACAGAAGAAGTGGTGAATCTCCCCGGACCCACAGGTGGGGAAGTGCATTATGTAGATAGTATGGGATAAGGAAGTAAAAGCACTCCCAACCCAAGATATGGTGACAATTGTCAGGCAGATCCTGGGGCTCATGAGGACTGGGTATCTCAGTGGGTTACAAATGGCCACATAGCGATCATAGGCCATGAGAGTCAGGAAGACACACTCAGCTATTCCCACTGTCAAGTAAAAGAACATCTGGGTCCCACAGCCAGTTTTTGAGATGTTTCTCTTTCCAGAGAAGAAGTCAGCGGCCATCTTGGTGACAGTAGAGGAAGTCAAGGTCAAGTCCATGAGTGCAAGCTGACTGAGAAAGATGTACATGGGAGTGTGGAGGTGGGAATCCAACCAGATGAGGAGGATCAAGACAGAATTTCCAGCAACAGCAATAATGTAAGTTAGAAGGATGATGGAGATGAGAAGTTCAGGATACTTGGAGTCAGTGAAGAGACCCAGAAGAAGGAAGCCTACGGTTGCAGTTTCATTTCCCTCCCCCATCTCTGGGGTCTTATTTATCTGATTTTAAACTGGAAGAGAGGATGAAAGTAAAACGATTTTTATAAGACGTTACAAATACCTCACTTCACCTATTAGTTCTCCTTAGGCTCCAGTTAGCAGCAAGGAGCCTTACATGAAGCAAATGGTCTGGAATGAAAGGAAATTCTGGTGCGGGTTTTTATGTTCAATGAAAGTGAAACTGACACAACAAGAAATTGGTCATTTTTAAATGTGACATTTAGTACTTTCACGGTGTTATAAAACCACCACCTCTATAGAATTCCAAAATAATCCCAACACTTCAAAAGGAAAACCTACACTCCATAAGCAACTGGTCCTCATTACTCTCTTCCCTAAATCTCTGACAACCACTATGTTAATTAATTTGTTTATACATTTAATCATTATTGAGGGTCTATGATAGATCATTTTATGACAGCACATTTACAATGCAGGCATTGAAATTGGGGGTGTTTTGAAGCATTACATCATTGTTGGGACCCCACTTATCATCTTCAACAAAAGATAGTGTGTAGACACTGACTAAGGCCACAAGATGTTTATGAGTAGTCTATAAATTTCAGAACTTCTGAACATGTCAGCAATTCTGGATTAGTCACTGCATTATAGTCATTCTAGTTTAGGTGGGTAGGTGATGTGATAGCAGCCAGATTACAGGAATAGTAGCAAGATCAGATTTATCAATGAGTGTGTTGGGTCTAATGAACTACTGAATTTTCACATATAACACACATAGCTTAAATCGAAAACTAACATATAAGGGGTTTGTACGGTTTGCAAAAAGACATAGCTTTGTGCATTGTTTGCATAAAAATATAGTAAGATTTGGAAATATAGTTCTGGCAAACAAATATCAGGGAGTAGTTTTTCCTTGCTCACAAGAATCTACATGGCATGGTAAAAAAGGATCTTGGGTTTTTATATTGTTAAGCAAAAAGATAAATTTATTGAACTAAATTCATTGCAATTTTAATTAGATCTGAGCCTTCTTTTTGTATATGGAGCATATTTTTCACCTCAATACGTTCTTTTTCTGGCCAAATATTTTTCTCTATCACTGTTTTATTGGGACCCTTTTGAGTTCTGCTACTCCCTGGTCTTAACCTAAGCCTGAACATGTGCTTCACTTAAAAATCACTAAACAGGAATTACACATTCTTGATGTTACTTAGAGAAAGATGCATCAAGAGAGAAGTATGGGGTGTCACCATGCATGATTTATTATGGCTCTGGCTGATCTATAATACAGAAGGATCTTGAGTACTGCGATTCCTGTGCACTTAAATATTTGCTAGATATGTCCAGGTAAATAGATACTGCCATTTGTGCATTAAGCATTGAATGTGTCTAAGGGAACCACAATGAAGAAGAGAACTCTATTCACCACCCGGAGTGATTATATTCTAGTAGATGATAGATAATAAGCAAGTACGACATCAAACAAATGATCACCTTTGAGGTAAATATTATGATGGAAATAACTGAAGGTTTCTGATCCCGAAATGTACTTCCTTTAGTTAAGGAAACCAGGGAAGACCTAGTTTAGGAACCATCCATGCTATCACATAAAGGAGGACGTAAACTGGTTTTCCTGTGGTCCTGAAAAGTGCCGAGGCAGGCAAAAGAAAAAGGACAAGAACCCTGATCAAAGACGGATGTGACTGATGCCTGGGAATGAGGGAGAGAGAGCCATGCCATTGTTAAGAGCTGTAGTCACTAACCAAGCATAGCATAATGAAGTTACGGAGCTGTTCTAAGCCTCACTCTCCCTGTCTGAGAAACAAATTAAACAAAAGTGTTAATGCATGCTACAGCATGTATGAACCTTGAAAATATTACTTCGTGAAAGAAGTTAATCACAAAAGACCTCATATTTTATAGTTCTATTTATATGAAATGTCCACAAATTACAAACTTAGGCAGAAAGTAGATTAGTGACTGCCAGGGGTTGGAAATAGAATAAATTAAGCAAAAATAGCAAGTGACTGCTATGCAAGTGTATGGAGTTCCTCTTTGAGATGATGAAACCCTGCTAAATTTGATGATGTGGTGAGGGTTGTCCAATTCTGTGAATATACAGAAAGCCATTGAATGCATAAATTGCATGGTATATGTGTGGAACTATATCTCAACAAAGCTGCTATCTTAAAACTTGAAGGAAAATAAGTAATCCAGGTTAAGAAAATTTAACCCCTATTTAGTGTCAGGTTTGGCTCAGAGCATTTAACACTTAAGTAGTTCTTTATTCTTCACAAATGACCACATAGGAGAACATTAAACTTAAACAGTTTAAGTCACTTAACTAAAGACACAAAGCTCCCAACCAGAGAGGCAGGATTCGAATCCGTTCAGTCAGGCTCAGGAGTGTGTACATTCTATCACTCCAGAAAACACCCGGTTAGTTGGTCTATTTCAAGGACTACATGAGAAATGCACATGAAACATTTAACATAGTGCCTGAAAACTGGTGAGCACTGGATAAATTTAAATAGTTATTGATCATCAGTACCTCCACTATTCATTGCTGACACAAGGGAAGTACATATAAATGTCCTATTAATTTTGACCTGATGCTTAGGATATTCAAAAATGTTCATCACAGTTTATGACAGTGACTGTTTATGCAATCACTCTTCTTCAGACGTTAGCCCTGGCACAAACTCAGATGGAGAAGCTGATCTCCTCTATTTCAAAGGGTCTGTGCCTGAAACCCCCGACATGGGTGTTTCCATTTTTTTCTTTCATTTTTCTTCTAGAAATGAAGAAATAAAATTATAATGCTACTTTCTTGACACCCCATTTCTTCCCACCTCTCCTGCCTAAACAGCTGCTCTCTTAAGCATGGCTCCACAGCATCTGATCATCAGAGCTCAGGGTTTCCTTTAATATAGAACTCCATCAAAGAGCTTCATGTGAGTGAGACAAAACCACCCTGCCTCAAAGCACAACTTCAGCTTTATGTGGCCACATAGCGAATATTCTAAGAGCAAGACAAAGGAGCCTAAAACATCTGAATTCTGGTTTCTCAAACCCTCAGGTGTGACTCATTCTGTTTTGAACACCTACTACCTTAATAACCCAACTACCCCTTACCCGAGAGTGACTCTACCCAGAATGAGGTCGGTGTACTTGTACATGATACAGACCATTATCTCTCCAGTAAACTGAGTTGTTAGCTACATGGGTGAGTCTTTCCAGGATGGTATCTCGGACTGGTGATCTCACCCTTCTCCTCTGGATGTTGCTGGGGCCCTCCAAGCAGTGAGTATGTGGCTTATGTGAAAAGACCACCCAGAATGTCGGCCAGGGACTGCTAAGAGTGAAGACATTTCCACCTTGACTGTTCTGTGATTCATGCTTCCAATATAGTATAGGGACTAAATACAAGGTAGTGGCAAAGTTGGAGACACTGGATCTCAAGGGAGTGTCCTGGTTCTGTGAAATCCCCAGACTTTAATTAATCTGCATCTCCAGACCAGAACTGAGTTCCATCAGGCATAAATATGTAGATAGGTAGGTAGATAGGTAAGTAGGGAGAGAGAGAGAGAGAGAGAGAGAGAGAGAGAGAGAGAGAGAGAGAGAGAAATACTTAGACCTTTGTAAATCATCATATTCTCAGATTGGAACAAAATCACGTTGTGGCAACATTCCTGGGGTCCTACTAGTCCTGGGCCCTGTCCCTCTGACAATATCAGATTACTCAATAAGCAAAGTAAGCATGTGATTATTTGTGTTTTCTTTCAAATCTGTAGTATACAATTACACATTCTGTAACACAATAAAGGTTCTGCTTCTAGGTATGGCTGGCATCTGTTCCTCTCTCAACCCTATTGCACCTTCCTCCAGAATTAAAGTCTCTTTTCAAATGTCTTTCCATGACAGGGATGAAGTCCCTATTAAACAAGGCAAGCACAGGTTTACTTATGCTTACTTACTAACCTGTAGTGAACAGTCTAGCATGCATTCAAGACGGACATCTTGAAATGTATGTGGAACCTTTCATTACAGATTAGTCAGCCCCTGCTTACCTTTCTTTTTAGCTACTATCCCCCTGGTTAACTTCAATCGCTATTTCAGACTCCAATAGAGGATACCTCCTCCAAGAAGTCTGGCCTAAAATCTTAGATGAGACTGCTTGCCCCTTTCCTGATTTCTCTGCTGTCCTAAACGCAGCCCCATCTTGACATTGTGCATTTTATCCTGTCTGTATGAGCTACTTGAATCCATGAGTTATTCTTCTCTGTATTCCCAGTTCCTCATCCAGTGCCTGCCTCTACCTGAATATTCACTCCAGAAACTCAACCAACCTCATTGCCACCAAGTCAATGCCAACTCATAGAAACCCTAGAGGAGAGAACTGAACTCCTTCTTCAGGTTTTAGAGGCTGCAAATATTTACCAGAGCAGAAAGCCTTGCCTTTCATCTTTCTCCTGAGGAATGCCTGGAGGGTTGACTATTGACCTTGTGGTTGGCAGTAGCTCATAAACCACGACACCAACAGGGGCTTCGTGCACTTCAAACTGAAAAATAAAATGATGCCAACACATCGAGGAACAAAAAATCATATCATTGTGTGCTCACTTTCCCAATACAATCTCGGAAGACAAATGGATACATAAGCAAATGTGGTGAAGAAAGTTGATGGTGCCCGGCAATCAAAAGATAAAGCATCTGGGGTCTTAAAGGCTTGAAGGTAAACAAGCAGCCA